ATGAAACCTGCAGTAGAATAGCGTATTTCCAGTCTGATTTCTTGCGCAGAATATTCAGACATTCCAAATAGCTTCGAGTCATATTGTGTCCAGCACTGTCCACGTTGTACTCGGTCTCAGTGAGAAAAACATTTGGGAAACATGCCGATAGATTTCTCATATGTTCGTGGAACAGGGGACTCGATTTATTGTCCAGTGCATAGCAGAACAAATTCTGCGGCGTGTACATCAAATTAAACAGCAATTCTTGCACATGGTAAGCCTAAATTCATTTTTTAAACCAACGGATAAAGAATATTTTCAAACAAAACATTTTGAAAATTACTAGTAGATAACGAAAGTCAGAGTTACATGGTTGAAAGAAGCCCAAAATAGGGAGAAATCGAGAAGCTGCCAGCTGCATTAGTGCTAAGGCGAAGCGTAACATTCTACCACACCCCTTCCATTCCCCTTACCGCCCTCCACTTTACCCTCCCAGAACTACTCCACAACTGAATTTGGAATCTTCAGCACACAGATACACAGAGAATATCTCTGCAATGTTTCAGCTTCCTATTTTTTCGATTCACGAAATCGTTTCCCGCCAGGAAATTTGTTTATTTTTTCCGGGGTTTGCACGCGACATCTAGGCGCTATGAGCTAACATCTTGCAACGAGAGGGTGACAAATGGAGTAGGAATAAGACCCCAAAATTTCAGTCTCCCAATTTTCCTGGTTGCTTAGTTGAAAGTTAATAACAAAGTTCGCTTGCTTTCAAACCCACACAAGGACGACCTCTCGAAAATATGCGTTTTTGCTCAACGTAGCAACCCTTTCAAAGGAATTAGCTGGCGGATAGTTGCTGGCAACATTATAACTTTCTAAACTATTTCACTTACTCTATAGACAACTCTAACGAAAGCAATAGGAAAATCGATTTCAATTTTAGTTTGAGGTGGGTCCATATACGATCCACGCAATTTAATTTCTTCGCAGGAACTGCTGAATGCCATATCCACTTTCTTGGAATCAACAGTTAATGGATCCTGAAAGCTACAAGTTTTTGAAGTGAGATAAAAATTACTCAGCATGCTCTTTTTTGCCAATAAAGTACTTGTAAAGTATTATGAAATAACGCTTAAAAAATTCAGAAGAACCCTTAAGTGATCCAAGAAGTCTACTGAGCTCTATCGCAAAGTCCGCTTCCACTCGAGTTAAGTTCCCCTCATGTTATAAAACCGATGAAAAATGTGAAAACTGGTTGTTCCACACATGAATGGGAATCAGTGTTTTGAAACTTTAGCTTCTAGAATTTGTTAGGAGCACGTCATTTCATAATTCTGCAAAATTTGGATTTGATTTATGCGTAAATTACTAACTCTTGCAATCCTGCTCGCGAAAACTGGACTCGTGAGTATCTGATTGCATTCATTTCTAGAGGGCGAATATCTGCGCACACCTGGTATTTGCGGCTTTTCACCTTTTATTTTCAGATCCTCGATAATTTCCTGAACTTTGAAGTCCTGTTTTGCTGAAAATTTCAGTGAGTGATAAGGAAGACAAAATTTTTGGTAATTCAGTTCCTATCAGCCTGCATGACTGACCTAGCCAAGACTGTAGAAGCGAGTACGAGATGAAAAATTTAGCAGCTGCTTTTTAAAGAATTAAGAGCAACTTGAAATTACTTAGCATTGCTTTTTTCTGTTCACCATTTTTCTCTTTTTTATCTGTCTCTCCTATCAAAATTTCTAGTTCTAAAGTAGAAGAGCGACGCTGATGTACCGCTGGAAAGAGACTGACATTGGAGTTTTGAAACACAGGACTTGTATGCTCTTTGCCCTGCTGTTAGATGTGCTTAAATTCAATTTGAGTTAATCTTTCTGAGCTCCTGAAGATAAGGATTTTCTTTGCTTAAGACGCTTTGCTTTGATCAGTTCATTTCGGATTCTCGAGCTGCGCAGCTGGTAATTTTCCTAGTTGCTTCGGCTTACGTCCAGTCGACAACCCACTGGCAAACTTGAAAATTGTTTTCTCTCCTGAAGGGGCTACCAGCTCAAAGTTTGTCATATCAAAGCCACTTAGCTTTGCAAATAATGGCAAACTCTAAAATTTGCATTATTACATTCATTTTTACAAAGAAAAAAGTTGGAAAATTTACAAAAATAAATAAGCAAATGCTG